TTATAAGTGATGCAGCCTAGAAGTAATATAAATAAAAAAAAATTCTTCATTCTTTAAAATGGACAAGCAAATTTTGGATAAATTGTTAGGATGTCGTCCAGAACACCCGAGTCAATAAAATACAGTAGTTACACAGTTGGTGGTACAAGAGGCCAGGAGGTCTAAAGTCCTTTACGATTTCACATTCAACAATATAGTGTTTTAGTGAATGCATTAAAGGTTTATCACAGAGTTTACAATCTGAGTATTCTGGTAGTGGCTCAGCCTCACTAACCTGCCAGATGTGTCTATAGCCAAGGCGAATTCGTGCAATGACTACATCACATTGCCTGATCCGATTACTGTGCTGACCATACAAATACCTATTATTACAAAACTTGTCATAGCTTTTAATACTGCAGCTTTCAGGTCTCTATGCATTTCTTAGTTCTTCTAAATCTAAATTAATTTCTTTAATTTGTATGTTTCTAATAATTGCATTAGATAGTCCAAAGTCATAATCAATGTTTTCTTTCCTGCAAGCCTCATTGGCCAATCGATCTACAAAGACATGTTTTCCAACTCTAACATAGGATGAGATCCACACAAATTTTATACAAGAGATATTATCATTGGCAAAAATTACATTCCACTTAATATTACAAGCTACTTCCGACATACATTGTGATGGGTTATTTAAGGACTGCAGAGCACTTTTAGAGTCACAGAAAATAACTCCACCACCATTGGTTTTCAGTGGCTATATAAATGGCCAATAGCTCGGTCTGTGTCATGCTTGCCCAGTTGTTCAATCTCTGTGTACGAGACATGATCATTTTATTACCTTTATATACTGCACATGCACAACCTGTTCTACCAGTGCCTAACTGGTAGAACGGAAGGGAAGTTACTGGTAGGGAAGTTTAGAAGTGGGAAATGCAGTGTGAGGTATGAAAGCAGGCAGGCTGTCCGCCTTGCTGACACGATGTGTGGGTGTTGGCAGCTAAGCTAAGCTTGCTCTCTCTTGTCAGGGAGCTGTGAGTGTGTGGGAGGTTCTTCACATGTGTTTCACCATATATGGATGTCTATAGATGAATACTGTGTAGCATTCATATATATATGAATGCTACAAGCACTCCGATGCTTCTACACATGTTGTTCTGTTTAAGGCTCTTTATTATTATTGTTTATTGAGTTATTCATACATACACATACATATATATATCTATATACATATGCATATACACAACTTTACACATATACACATACATACTCAATTTTTCCAATTATTGGGGGAAGGATTTCTGTCAGTATTTCATCTGGGAATTATGTACTGTGAGGCGGAGTTTTCATCTAGTGAATCGCGGCTCTTGGGCCACCAGCTGTGGGAGCGGGGCGTCTCATAATAATAATTTATTTAGGGACAGTACATACATAGTTGCAGAGTTACAGTACAAACATTCTGTTAGATTTAAAGATAGAGGTAGTACATACAATACCTAAAGCCACTAGTACGCATAGCGTTTCGGGCAAGGAGAGGTGGGGAAAAAAACACTTAGACTGAAACTAATAGTAATTGAGCTTAAAGTATAAATTGTGTTGAATGAAAAAAAAATAATAAAAGATAAAAAAAAAAAGGGGGGGGGGGAACATGGTAGAAAATAGCCAATATACAAGTTGGTCAACAAACGGCATTTTTTTTTTTTAATAGTAAGACATGGGTTGACATTTAGAAGTAAGGTAGGTTACATGGAGTTAATTAGGTAGTACTTAGTTTTCATCTTAAACTGGTTGAGAGAGATAAAATCTTTGACATAATTGGGAAGGTCATTCCACATTCTGGGTCCCTTGATTTGTAGAGCATTCTCATCATGGAGTTACTCATCTTGGAGTAACCTGTCTAACATTGGGTCCTCCAATATTTCAATGGTGTTCCACGCCCTGATGGCTTGGCGCTGCAGTGTGATGTTTAGTGGCTGTATGTTCAGGAGCTCATGGAGCTCCTGGATTGTCTGATCATATGGTGGACGGTGTTTTGCTGCTCTCCTTAGCGCCTTATTTTGCACTGCTTGCAGTTTCTGCATGTTAGTTTTCTTTATGGTGTGTAGTGGTACTGGGGGATACTCTAGATGCGACCGAACTAGAGCCTTAGAGGTGGATCTGAATGTTTGTACCGAGGTACCGACCGAGGTTTGTACCGAGGTACCTGTTTGTACTGAGGTACCGAGGTACTGAGGTTTGTACTGAGGTACCGAGGTACTGAGGTTTGTACCGAGGTACCAAGGTTTGTACCGAGGTACCGAGGTTTGTACCGAGGTGTCGGTATGTTTGTACCGACACTGCAAATTTAATGAGTACGGTTATGTAAAAACAGAGGAGTACTGCAGACAGTTACAAAAGGACCATCATAAACTCGACGAGTGCTAACAAATGGTTGCTAGCATTAAATCCCAACATGTGTAAGGAAATCAAAATGAGAAAGGAAAAAAGTAAACCAAGAGGTATCTACACCCTAAGGAGAAAGCAACTACAGGAATTGGAGACAAAAACAGTTTGGGAGTGGATATAATTTCAGGCATCGAGTCATTTCTTCGCAAACGTCGTCGTTTCTTCATCTTCTGATGTTTGGTTTGGTCATCGTATAATTCCAAATTTATAATTCTATTTATACAACATTAACACCAGATAGACACAAACAGGGTAATATCAGCAGCATATGCGATGCTGGCAAACATTGGAATGCCATTTAGAAACCCAAACTAGGACTTCCATAGTGTAAGAGGGGTGATTTTCCAGCCTAATCTTATGTCTGAATAGGTGCTTTCAACTGCTAGCACAGTCTAACCTCCTTATTCATGATCAAATTGTATTCAGGTTTGGTGTCATTGGGATTCCCGCCTTGTCCAAATTCAAGATATTTTTGTTGTGCTTGCTAACTCATCTGATTTAGTGACAATCAACACGATTTGATTATCACACGGAGTGGTGACTCTAGACAGCAGGGGCAGACTTTTGAAGTAGAGTGGCATTAGGGGGTGAGGCATGGGCCTCAACAGTTGGTCTTTCCCTTTACATTACATCCCCTCAAAACCCCCTTAAAAACACATGGTGCCATAAACCTGGTAGAGCCATCTAGCAAGACACTTGAATACTATTTCTTGGTGGAAGGGAGAACAGGTGCCTCTACCAATCACTGGATAGCTTGGGTAGGCTGAATTTATTTGACTAATGCTTTTCAGATTATGTTTTTGCATCCTAATAACTATTAAATGTTCAGCAACTTTTGCTACATCATAAGGGGCAGAGGTCTTTTAACACAATGCAAACTGCAACAGAAATGTTCCAAAATTATAATAATTCATTGTCATAGGACAGGCAGCCAGATATATACTGTATACATGTCGAGTTTATACCGAGGTCCTTCCTCACCAAGGTCAAATTACTGACCCCTCCCAGGATGCAACCCCACAACAAGCTGACTAACTCCTGGGTACCTACTTACAGCAAGGTGAACAGGTCATTAGGTGATAGGAAATGCACCCAACCATTTCTGTCCTGCCTGGAATCAGCTTAGTTTGCAGAATGTTTGGGCTATTGAAAAGGTGATAGTTCCTTATCATGAAGAAAAAAGTAGCAATGCATGCAAGCATAAAAGATTATTGTGGCGATCACATCACCTGTAGTCATATCAATATACAGTTGCCTCAACATTATCTGTTACCCCTGACAGGCAGTGTGGCAGAGCTTGCCACACCGCAACAAACTCGCGAACCTTACTCTGCAACCGAAGAAGAAGACCCACCTTGGAAAGCCTGGTGATTACTGGTCACAAAGACCCAACCCAGGGCTAAGGTGTCCATATACACATTGAGCACTGGAGGATGAAGGCATCATGAAAATGATCCCCAAAGAGGAAACCAGTGACTCAAAAGCTGGTAAAAGACAAATGGAACTCATACGTGATGATCCCGGTGATGATGAATAGGGTGGAACCGGAGAAACCAGAATGACACTCAAAGCCAAAACCTGACCAACACCATGCAGACAAAGTGCAAGTGCACAACCACTCAACCAAACGGCAAGTAATCTGGGGCCTCTTCAACACTAGACAGAGACAAACCTGCAGGTAGAGCAGTCACTAATAGCAAGAAAGGGAAGATGGCCGAGAATTCCAGACCAGGCCCAACCAAGTGTCGGGGAATAGGGTAAGAAAGGCGATTTGGGGAAGGCCCAGATATTCAGAAGGGAGGCAGGGGGGAGTGACTGGGTATGTGGATGGTAGGGAATGGGGAGGGACCAAGAGTAGCTGAAGGCAGCCCAGCTAGTAAGTCTATCGAAGTCCTAGTTTGGATATCTTGTACATTAGGCCATGTGTGCCAGACTTTGTCAAAAGCTTTTGATACATTTCTGAGCATTACATTGCCAGAAACTATCAGCTGCCCACCCACTCTCAGCCACTTACCCGCTCTCGGCTGCCTGCTCACTCTCTGCCACCCACCCATCCACATGCTCTCAACCAAGCTTTCTGCCACCCATTTCCAGGTGCCCACCCATGACTGCTAGCCTATTCATCTGCGACCACAAAAAAAAATATACAAATATAGCTGTACTATTTGGTATATTTTCCTACAATATGGGGACTTTTCTTTTCTTCTGGACCTACTTATCATGCCTGGGGTAGCCTGGTCCTAACCCTGTCAAGCTGCCCAGCCAAGTATTCTTCCCTCGCATGATTCAAATCATGCTGTTCTGCTTATGAAAAAGTTTCTTACCAAAATTTGTTTTACTGTATATTTAAATAACTTTTGCTAAGGTCATGTCTGATAGCACCAGTAATCAACATGGTAGTGTTAAGAAGAAGCAAGTATGCAATCCATTAAAGCCGAGTGATTTAACTTGTGAAAATGGCCATTCATTTGTTTACATTTCTGATAAGAAATTCGGCTAACTTAGATGACCATTTAGCTTTGATGGGGGTGGGCCACCTATGATGCAAATTACTGAACACAAACAGTACTTACCTAACAAGGGCAAGGAGCAGGATTCCCCCAGCAGAGAGGCCCCACCCAGCAGCAGCAAAAGCTGCTGGCAGTGTCAAGCATCCTGTGCCAACAATGAGGTTAAACACATAGATCAACCCCGTCTGTAAGAGAAAAGTTGTAAGACACTATTAGTTAGAGTCACAAGTGAAAGTTGCTCTACATATTAATTTAAGTTCAATATTTTCAGTTAGTACAGTGAATTATGCTTATATTAGCAGAAAATATGCATCAAAGAGACAAAAAATCAAGCGGTGAATGTAGAAGCTCTCAGGCACATTGGCTCTGGTACCATAGGAACACCCACAAAATTATCAGGCCTCTGAACTTGCACAGGCCAATCCAACACCAGGACAAGAATCTGGTGCTTATAGAGGCAAGAGGAGCATGGGTAGCCAAAATGCACACAATCCCGCACAGAAAATAATGGAAATTACATGTATAGGTGGGTATGGGGAGCTACTGAGGCTGCTTAGGTTACTTCAAGGTCTGTTAACTTCATTTTCTCTGTAGGATGGGATTCAATAGATCCCCCCAGCCAATTAAGAACTGAAGTTTGTGCAGCCTTCCAGGTTTCAATTCAGTGTTTTTTAATGCCAATGGTAATTTCTGTTGTTTCTGTTAGTTTGCCTGTTAGGTAAAGGAGTTTTTTATTTCTCAAGTGTTTTCAGGAGTTCAACAGATTATTAGCCTTTCACTACTTATTGGATTTGCATAGCCTCATCGTTCTTGTGTAACTCTTGATCATGTAATTACCTAAGTGTAGTTACAGGATGAGAGCTACGCTCGTGGTGTCCCGTCTTCCCAGCACTCTTTGTCATATAACGCTTTGAAATTACTGACAGTTTTGGCCTCCACCACCTTCTCATCTAACTTGTTCCAACCGTCTATCACTCTGTTTCCAAAAGCGAATTTTTTTATATTCCTCCGGCAGCTTTGTTTCATTAGTTTAAATCTATGACCTCTTGTTCTTGAACTTCCGGGTCTCAGAACTTCTTTTCTATCAATTTTATCGATTCCTGTTACCATTTTGTACGTAGTGATCATATTGCCTCTTTTTCTACTATCCTCTAGTTTTTGCATATTTAATGCCTCTAACCTCTCCTCGTAGCTCTTATTCTTCAGTTCTGGGAGCCACTTAATGGCATGTCTTTGCACCTTTTCCAGTTTGTTGATGTGCTTCTTAAGATATGGGCACCACACAACCGCTGCATATTCCAGCTTTCCAATAATAGGAGAACTCCTATTTCAATTAAGCCCTGATGCTAAGAAAATAGTTAGAGGGATAGAAGCCCTAAACCAGAAAATAATAAACACAGAATATGTGGTCATATTCAATGAAACATGTTTGAAAGAAAACCTGCTGCCAGTATACACCAGTATATGTATAAATATATATATAATAATTGTCGTTTATTCAGTCGAGTTGGTCAAGTTATAATATACGTTGGTGGAACAAATTGGACAAAGTGTCCAGTATGGACACTACTGGTATTCATGTAAGTCAACTTACCACTGGAGAATACTGCTCTCCTGGGTGTAAGCCGACGGAGTTAGGCATAATAGTGGTGCTATAGGAGTGTCAGGCGACCATCAGGGACATACACACTGTGGCCAACAAACTATCAACAAAAGTCTGTCCTCCCCCACAACACTTGACAGTCTCGTGTAGCAATCACCTCGACGTAAAGATCTCCGGAGTCCCAAATCACCATAAATATCCTTTTCAACTCAATAAATATTTTATTTGTTGATCAGTTTTAAATGAAGGTCTTATTATAAAGTTTTATAACTCGTTTACGGAAATTTTATTTACACACTTGAGATTGAAATTAAGGATGAGAAACTGTGGGATATTAAATATATCTTTTATGTCCAGGACTTAACAGCTGACGCAGAGGTGTAAACAAATATGAGAGCCTCGCAGTGCGCCGCCAGCACCACCACCACCGTCGCTCTACCGTCACTACTACCACAAGCACCACCACCACCGTCGCTCTACCGTCACTACTACCACAAGCACCACCACCACCGTCGCTCTACCGTCACTACTACCACAAGCACCACCACCACCGTCGCTCTACCGTCACTACTACCACAAGCACCACCACCACCGTCGCTCTACCATCATTACTACCACAAGCACCACCACTACCGTCGCTCTACCATCACCACTACCACAAGCACCACCACCACCGTCGCTCTACCGTCACTACTACCACAAGCACCACCACCACCGTCGCTCTACCATCATTACTACCACAAGCACCACCACTACCGTCGCTCTACCATCACCACTACCACAAGCACCACCACCACCGTCGCTCTACCGTCACCACAACCACAAGCACCACCACCACCGTCGCTCTACCGTCACCACTACCACAAGCACCACCACCACCGTCGCTCTACCATCACTACTACCACAAGCACCACCACCACCGTCGCTCTACCGTCACCACTACCACAAGCACCACCACCACCGTCGCTCTACCGTCACCACTACCACAAGCACCACCACCACCGTCGCTCTACCGTCACCACAACCACAAGCACCACCACCACCGTCGCTCTACCGTCACCACTACCACAAGCACCACAAGTCACCACTACCACAAGCACCACCACCGTCGCTCTACCATCATTACTACCACAAGCACCACCACCACCGTCGCTCTACCATCATTACTACCACAAGCACCACCACCACCGTCGCTCTACCGTCACCACTACCACAAGCACCACCACCACCGTCGCTCTACCGTCACCACTACCACAAGCACCACCACCACCGTCGCTCTACCGTCACCACTACCACAAGCACCACCACCACCGTCGCTCTACCGTCACCACTACCACAAGCATAACCACCACCATCGCTCTACCGTCACCACTACCACAAGCACCATCACCACCGTCGCTCTACCGTCACCACTACCACAAGCACCATCACCACCGTCGCTCTACCGTCACCACTACCACAAGCACCATCACCACCGTCGCTCTACCGTCACCACTACCACAAGCACCACCACCACCGTCGCTCTACCGTCACCACTACCACAAGCACCACCACCACCGTCGCTCTACCATCATTACTACCAAAGGCACCGCCACCGCCAGTTTCCCTACTAACAGCAGTACCACCAGTGCTACTAACATGGCAATTCTCACCACCACCATTTCTACCAGCAATGGCAAAACTACCACCGCCATCAGCAAGAAAACCATTACTACCAGTAGTATATAGCACTACTACAAGCAATATATAGCACCACCACCACCATCATTAAAAGCAGCACCACTACAGCTTTATGTCACTTCCAATAGTACCACTTGGGCTGAACGGTAGAGTGACGGTCTCGAATCATGCAGGTCGGCGCTCAATCCCCGACAGTCCTAGTGGTTGGGCACCATTCCTTCCCCTCCGTCCCATTCCAAACCCTTATCCGGATCCCTTCCTAGCGGTATTTAGTCCTAATGGCTTGGCGCTTTCCCCTGATAGTTTCCTACCTTTCCTACCACAACAAATACTACTGCAACTACCACCAATATTAGTTACTTCCACTGCTGCAAATATAATGGCAACGCCAACAACCATTACTAGCAACACTAGTACCATTACTAGCAACACTAGTACCATTACTAGCAACACTAGTACCATTACTAGCAACACTAGTACCATTACTAGCAACACTAGTACCATTACTAGCAACACTAGTACCATTACTAGCAACAGCACCACTACAACTATAACCACCATCACTACTACCACGTTTTCCTTTCGCCTGAATTTACCTGAGGGGCCACCATCTCTCTAGTGGCCTCGACGAGGACAGAAAGATGGCTTGTCATAGGTCCCCCAATTTGTCCTGATGATTTTATCGAGCTTGATCTTGAATTGCAGCAGTGTTTGGGCAATTACGGCTTCGGCTGGTAGGCAGTTCCAGTGGTTTATAACCCTATGGGCAAGAAAACCTTATGTTTTCAGTCCTACATTGTGGCTTGTTGGGTTTGAAACTGTTGCTCCTTTTTGTGTAACATCTGACCTTTCGAAGACGTGTAGTTTAACAGTTTTTTAGTTTAGTTCATTTATTATGCACCCCATACCCATCTTGTGGGCGGTAGTGGAAAGGGTTACAGAGGCACATAATGGGCTCAGGGACTGAACCCCACAATTCATTTAGCTAAGCAAGTTACAATCTTGATGAGCTAGTTACAAAATTCAGTATAAGTCGTCACATCAACAATGGGTTCGAGATCGACCTCAAGTACAGTTTCTAAAATTAAGCAACTGACATATGTGGAGAGCTAGTGTCACAATTGATATGTTTGTCCTGCACACCGCTCCCCATCCAGTGGGCAGCGGTGGATAGGTTACAATCACTTAGTTACTACCTACAGTTAGCAAATAGGGGATATTTGGCTAAAATTTCTGGTAGCAGATCATTTTGAATGAAATATTTACACATCGCTGGAACATTGGTTATAGAATTGTTTAACATCCTCCAAATTGTTCATAATTTTAAAAAGTTTCAATGAGATCCGCCCTGTCATGCCTGGCTTGCAGTGTTGTTAGCCCTGTGGCCCTCAACCACTCCTGGTATGAGAGTTGATGTACAGTAGTTCCAGAATGGTTTTTGTTATCCAGTGTTGTACTTTCTCCAGAGAAGTTATATCTTTCATAAGATTAGGTTTCAATATAATCCGATTAATGCACCTGAGATATTACAACAATAGTAAAGTCAATTTTATTCAGGAAAGTACATACATAGTTGATTTACAAACATAATGTTGGATTTATAGATAGAGCTAGTACATACAATACCTAAAGCCACTAGTACGCATAGCGTTTTGGGCAAAAAGACTTTCCCGTGCCGGGAATCGAACCCGGGCCTCGCGGGTGAGAGCCGCGTATCCTAGCCACTAGACAACACGGGATATAGCATCATTTTCATAACTTGAGAATATTCTCTGTTTAGGACAAAGGTTCACTTGCCAGTTTACATGTAGACTATTACTGGAACCGTAATATGCTTCTGGACCATCACAAATATCATAAGAACTATCCAGGCGGTTTGACGCAGGGTTTGGTGTCTCATGGTTGTGGATTTGCTCTGAGAACAAACTGAATTAAGACATCTAGAGCACTAGTTCCCACACTGGGAGCCATGGCCCTTCTGGGGAACATTTTTTAATTTGTAAGGGCCCATAAGTTGAGGCAGTGTACAGGTATCTGTACACTGTACACTGTACAGTGTACAGGCAGTGCCTGTACACTGCCTCAACTTTTGAGTCTGTCTGTACATGACAAACTCAGTAGCCCCAGGTGTGGATGAAATTCAATCCAAAGTCATGAAGGAACTAGCAGAGGAATTATGCCTACCGCTGAGACTGAATTTCAGAAAATCTTTGGACCAAGGGATAGTTTCCTTATATTGGAAATATGCAAATATCACCCGTATTAAAAAAAAAAAAAGCAGAAAGAGCTCAGCAGAAAACTACCGTTCGATCAGCTCGACATCACACATCTGCAAGTTCGTGGAGAGAATCCCAAGGAATGTAATCATTCATCATCTCACAGTGAACATTCTCGTAAAATAGACACAATATGGGTTTGTTAAAAATAGTTTCTGCCTTACAAACTTGCTCACATATTTGGAAACGGTAACCAGCTACTCAGACAAGGGACTTCCGGTGGATCTAATATACATGGATTTTGCTAAAGATTTTGATAAGATATCACAAGAAAGACTGGCAAGGAAATTACAGATCCATGGAATAAATGGTAGAATACTAGAATGGATAAAAATAAATTTATTTACTTATTTATATACAAGAAGGCACATTTGGTTTATGTGAGTATATTATAAAAGTACTGACAGTACAGATAAAACAGTCATGCTAAATGGGAAGGATTCTGACTGGAGCCCTTTTTGTCATATACCTCAATGACTTAGATGAAATTATTACGTCACAACATCAAACTTGCAAATGACACTAAGATCTATGGTAAGGTGGGAAGTGAAAATGATACTGAAGTTTTACACAAAGATCTACATGAACTCCACAAATGGCCAGAAAACTGGCGAATGCGTTTTTAATGTCGAAAAATTTTACCATTCTGAACAATTTGGAGGATGTTGATCCAGACAATTTTTTCAAAAGGTCAGATGTAACACAAACAAGGAGCAGCGGTTTCAAGCTCAACAAGCCACAATGTAGGACTGAGAACAGATGCTTTTTCACCCACATGATGAAAAAGCAGGGAGCCGTAAATGCCGAAATTGCTGAACTGCAAATAAATCCAGCTGCAAATAATTATCAGAACAAATTGGGGGACTTTTGATAAGCCGTTGGCTTCTTGCCTTCGTCGAGGCCACTAGTGTATTAGTGGCCCTCAGGTAACTTCAGGTATTCTCTAGCTCGTATGTACTGAGACCAGGAAGTGGGACTTGGATTTTGGATTTGATATTCAAAGGGCTTGGAAACGATGGGGGAGGAAGAGGAATGGGGAGGTGAAATTCTGGAAAAGGATTTGGGTGTGGAGAAAGGAGGCTTGAAAATTGGGTGGCCTGTCCACCATAGGTTGGCATGAGGTGTGGGTCTGGTTAGTGTGAGTTAGATGGGTGTGTGTTGTGTAGGGTTGTCAGCGCATTGGCTGGGGTGGCGAGTGTGGGTGTCTTAGCTGGTGTCTGGTTTCCCTTGAGCCGGTGGTGTTAGCTTCAGAAGGCTGATCTTAGCAACATCAGGCTAGTGGCACCTCTTGCAGAACAAAAAAGGTTTTTATTGTTAGTTTTATTTGTTTGTTGTTTAGGTATAAATCGGGTCCGGGATGGTCCACTCATCCGAGTCTTCTGGTAGTCCGCTCAGTATTTAAGGTCTCTCGAAGGTCTTCAATTCAAACATTTGTTGTTGGTTCGAAATAATGCAAAATATCATAGGAAGAAAAAAAAAAGTACATTATTCTTTGTACAGTTGTCTCTCACCTCTCACTGCTACACAGTTGTTTCATCTCTCACTGCTACATAGTCAATTTATCTTTCACTGCTACACAGGTGTCTCGTCTCGTTGCAACACAGGTCTCTCACCACTAACTGCATATTCCTTCATTCCTGAGGTGATGTCTCGCGTCGTTTTCTTTCCCAATGTTTCAAGTCTGACTTATTTATATTGAACCACTTGTCACTTCTTACAAACCTACAGTCGCTGATCGCAAAATGCTTATAGATTAGCAATTTTTACCAATTGCTTTATGAGAAGGACTGTTGACCAGACCACACACTAGAAGGTGAAGGGACGACGACGTTTCGGTCCGTCCTGGACCATTCTTAAGTCGATTGTGAGAATGGTCGGCCGAGCGGACAGCACGCTGGACTTGTGATCCTGTGGTCCCGGGTTCGATCCCGGGCGCCGGCGAGAAACAATGGGCAGAGTTTCTTTCACCCTATGCCCCTGTTACCTAGCAGTAAAATAGGTACCTGGGTGTTAGTCAGCTGTCACGGACTGCTTCCTGGGGGTGGAGGCCTGGTCGAGGACCGGGCCGCGGGGACACTAAAGCCCCGAAATCATCTCAAGATAACCTCAAGATGGTCAATCGACTTGAGAATGGTCCAGGACGAACCGAAACGTCGTCGTCCCTTCACCTTCTAGTGTGTGGTCTGGTCAACATACTTTAGCCACGTTATTGTGACTCGTCGCCTGCATGAGAAAGACTCTTTACCAAAAAGTTTTATGAGAAACAGTTTTCAACAATGAATTATGAGAAGCCGTCCTGAGCACCAATGTTTTGAATGATTTTCACTTATTTGTCAATGATATATTAAGTGACAATCAGAATTATGAATATGTGAAAATATTAATGACGAAATTTTAAAATATTGGCAATAAATATTTTAAAGATGAATTTATTCATGTTTTAAAAAGACTTGAGAAGAAAATGTCTGTAATCCTATTGACATTTGTCATCAGTTGACACTATGTCTCTAAATGTCGAAAAGCTATTCAATAGAAATGTCTAATAATGCTTGTTTGTAATGTTTGCGGTGAAAGATAATTTACGCATTTATATGTCTGTTACATTTTGTCAGTAGACAGTACCTTGAGATGATTTCGGGGCTTAGCGTCCCCGCGGCCCGGTCGACAAGGCCTCCTCGTTCCTGGACTGGTCAACCAGGCTGTTGGACGCGGCTGCTCGCAGCCAGTACAGTACAGTTGAAATGTAACCAACAGTGCAAATGCCAGTTACATTTTAACATTTTTTTTTTAACCCACAGGGTTATAAATCCATGGAACCGCCTACCCGCCTAAGTCGTAAATGCCAAAACTGTTATGGCATTTAAGATCAAGGAAAAGGAAAAAAAAAGCATTCGGCATTTAAGATCAAGGAAAAAATAATTTAAAATTTTTGGAAAAGATCAAGGCAAAGGGAGAGGGGGGGATCTTTGACAAGCCGCCGGCTTCCTGTCCTCGTCGAGGCCTCTAGTGTTAGTGGCGCTCAGGTAAATTTACACGATTTGTAACATGTTATGAAAAACAATGTTGTCTAATCATTACTAGTATTATTTATATATTTGCTTAACTTAAAACTCGAGAACTTCAACTTTAATATTAGGTATGTAAATGTGTACCAATCTACTACATTTCATTTGTCTATCCAATTAAAACTAGGATTTTATTACCAAACATTTATATTACTAAACCCATGAAGGACGCACAATGTGATTTGATTTTATACACCGTTGTGTTTATAATGTATGCACTCTTTAATGAAAAATAATAATTCCGTGTTGGGGGACAGGCAGCCAGTGTATTTATGTTAGGATAATATCGGGCCCCCCTACCAGGTCAAATTTCTAACCTCAAGCTGACTATCTCCCGAGTACCTACTTGCTGCTAGGTGACAGGAAATGCACCAAACCATTTCAATCCCACCCGGAACTCTCGAGTTGAGAACGAACCCGACTACTACCAGGACCGGGAAAATATTTTCAACTTTTCTTGATGTTGAACAAATGCAAATGTAAATTACAGGGTCCCTCCAGCTACTCAATCCGCCTCTTATCCCTACTGGCCTTGTGAATATATAGGCTATAACGAGTCAATATAGTCTGCCTATAACGCTGACTAGAGATTATCTAAGTCATCATAGAGAACCTCGATCCGGGCACTTTCAGGCCTGTCACCCCACATATGGTCCAACAGCAGCACTTACGTACGTTTGTACACAATTATGTGTAAGAGAAAAATTACCAGCTATCAAACTTAAATTCATAGTAACAGGCAAGTTAACAGCTAATAATCCCGTATGTGACTCAAGTCAGAAAAGTTGGTCTGAACAGTTCACAAAGCGGAACTTATCGTTAATATAGTAAATATATCAATTTCAGAAATCTGCACAAAAGACTACTCTAATAAACTAGTTATTTAATGCCTTCATATTTAAAAGCAAGTCACATTGCTTAGCACTACCTAAACCGGATCAATCTTCCTGTGAAAAGGTCCCGCGCATTTTAGAATAAGAAAAGTACGGCATGTGACATCTTAATTCGGCTGAATTAACAGAAGGCACGAAGCCGGGAAGGTTACGCAACACCTTCACATTTCGGCTGAAGATTTGCGACTACGTACTATCCTACACCTAGTGCCCTTAGGACCAGATGTGCACCCACAGGTTAATGAATGGTCCATCCATTTAAAGCATTGCGCCTTACTACTAAATATTGTACTAAAAAGATTTTACAGCTTACGGGGGTTGGGTAAGCCAAAGCTACTATCCCTTCGAGACGAAGAAACGTCTCGAACATACTTTAAATTTACACAGCTTACGACAAATTTTAGGTGTTCCAGATAATTAGCAACTTTGCTAAAGCCTTTGAGAAAAAAAGTGGCAAGAATTACTGGACTGGAGCATGGGAACTAAAGTAAAAATTAACACCGCTGATGAAGTAATTTAGAAGGTTCTTTAGGAAAACTAAGTTTTCTAATAGTTTAGTCGTGCATACCTTATGCAAAGCTCATCGTACACAATGCTTGGGACATTTTTCAATTTTTAATATATTGTATAGGTTCAGCCATTCAGGAAGAAATTTAAATAAGTAAAGTAGAAATCAATTTATTCCTTTTAAATAAACATAATCCTTATCCTAATGGAATAATGTAAAAATTGATATCCTAAATCATGTACATTTAACCTAAATAAAGGACAGGAATTTAGAAGCACTTCCTGTGGACAATGGATGGGCCAGATTCATCATATTCTTGCTTGCTGATCCACATCTGTTGGAAGGTAGAAAGGGAAGCCAAGATGGAACCGCCAATCCATACAGAGTACTTGCGCTCTGGTGGGGCAATGATCTTAATCTTCATGGTGGATGGTGCCAAGGCAGTGATTTCCTTCTGCATCCTGTCTGCAATGCCTGGATACATGGTGGTGCCACCGGACAGCACGGTGTTGGCGTACAGATCCTTACGGATATCTACGTCACACTTCATGATGGAGTTGTAGGTAGTCTCGTGGATGCCACAAGATTCCATACCAAGGAATGAAGGCTGGAAAAGTGCCTCGGGGCAACGGAACCTCTCGTTGCCAATGGTAATGACCTGACCGTCAGGAAGTTCGTAAGACTTTTCTAGTGAAGAGGATGAGGCGGCAGTGGTCATTTCCTGCTCAAAGTCTAGGGCAACGTAACACAACTTTTCCTTAATGTCACGAACGATTTCTCGCTCTGCAGTAGTTGTGAAGGTGTAGCCACGCTCGGTGAGAATCTTCATAAGGTAGTCAGTAAGGTCACGACCGGCCAAGTCCAGACGCAGGATAGCATGGGGAAGGGCGTATCCCTCATAGATAGGAACAGTGTGTGACACGCCATCACCAGAGTCCAAGACAATACCGGTGGTACGACCAGAGGCGTACAGGGAGAGCACGGCCTGGATAGCTACGTACATAGCGGGAGTGTTGAAAGTTTCGAACATAATTTGAGTCATCTTCTCACGGTTGGCCTTTGGGTTGAGGGGGGCCTCCGTCAGCAGGACTGGGTGCTCCTCTGGGGCCACACGCAGCTCATTGTAAAATGTGTGATGCCAGATCTTTTCCATGTCATCCCAGTTAGTGACGATACCGTGCTCAATGGGATATTTTAGTGTAAGAATACCACGCTTGCTCTGTGCCTCGTCTCCCACGTAAGAGTCCTTCTGGCCCATACCAACCATCACGCCCTACCGGAAGAAAATTTTACCATTAATCTCAAGTTTAGCAAATTTTAAAGTAAAAATGTTAATGTTAAAAATGTGAACATTTAACAAGTGTCAAGTGTTAACGTTATTCAGGGTTAACCCTGAATATAACCACATTGAAAAATTAACAAAACTGTTATCCAGCAAGTCACTTCACTAGTCGTGCACTAAAATAATGTCCCAACTGCTCACCTGATGGCGGGGTCGGCCCACGATGGAGGGGAAGACGGCGCGGGGGGCGTCGTCCCCGGCGAAGCCTGCCTTGCACATACCGGAACCATTGTCCACAACCAGGGCAGCAACCTCGTCGTCACACATTTTTAATTACTGCAAAACAAAAATACAGCCCGGTTAGGTTGCCGCTCAAGAAATATTTCAATTAAATTCACAAGACTTTCTTGTTAAAGTCCAGAAATGCAGTATATTCACTTAAATATCACAAGTGTAGCAGCAGCAGTTGTGGTGTACCTAGTTAATATCACAGTCACTGACTACGTTGGTTGCGGGGACGTGCCCGGGTGTCCAGCTTCACTACCCGTGTTGAACTGATCCCCCACACCCGCCGCCCTCACCTTATAACACCCCCTTAACCCCCCCCCAGACCCCCTCCCAGTGACGTCACCACCCCCCACCCCACATAGCCCCCCCAGGGACCCCCACTCACCCCCCCCCCTCGCCGCCCATATTAGGAGCACCAACTGGACACTTTCTATTTGAGGCTTTCAAGGTAGTTTTCCATGTGGTGCGCCACACCAAGCCTGCGACACTCCCCACCGCTCTACACACCCTCGATAGTACTTTAAATGTTACTCTACAACATGGCAAGAAAAAAATTCGTTCGTGTAGTGCGAACAAGTTTTATATACTTCAAGAACAGAAAACCAAGACTCGTGCCGCCCATGCTGGCAGGGCGCCGACCTGCCAGCCACCTGTGAACCACCTCCAGGAAACTTTAATGCACTAGACGCAATGATCGACACCAAGCCCACACTAACACCAGTCGACACGCCCCTAACCTACCGGTTAACACTAACTTCACTCTAAACACATTTAATTCTTCACAACACGTCTCTACACGCGTATACACCGTAGTTGCATTACAAGTACACGTTGAACACAACAAGCTATCAATTAAAACATTTACTTACTTCGTGGGGACGGGCGGGCGCACAACTGTACTTGTCCTCGTGGTGATCGCGAGTGAGGGACTCGTGCAGCCCGCTGCTCCTCCACCACCAACCTCACCTTTCCAGCGGGGGAGGACTGCAAACGTCACTCTTTCTCCATCCTCATTGCTCCTCCAATGCGCTCTTCTTTAAGTCAAATTGGAAACCTATTGTCGATTAAATAATTATTTCTTTAATCTTGGATCGTGGAAAATTGTAATAAGTTCACGAGAGAGTTAAATTTTGTTTTTGCAAGAGGCTTCCCCTGCCATGCCGCCGCAGTGGCCTCGTCCACCACGCCCAGACAAACGTACATCGCCTTATATGGACATAGTCGGAAACTCGGGCGGTGATTGGCTGGCGGCGGCCGTTGAATGCGTGGCGGGAAGACGAGAACTCCAAGTCTCGCTCACCTTCACTCGATTTCATATTGTTTCCCTCAATCATCCCAACTTTCGAATACGCGTACAATTTAACATGCTGGGAATCCATAGAAAATACACTTCTATTCCTAATGTGTGTTATGAGACAAATTGTTTTCGCAACAATACACGCATGAGAGACGTGTACTTCAAGTAAATGTGGGCAGTGTTCCAGAGAACATCGCTAAGCACGAAACAAAATGAGAACAATGGCTAGAGCGACCGTACTGGATTCACGGCTGCCAACCGCATACGGGCCGCCATGGAGTCGCGCTTTCAGAAGGCTCCTAATGAAAAATCCTTGGGCTTGCTTTATTCGGTTACAGAGAGAGAGAGAGAGTGAGTCTGTCGTAGTAAAGGGCTCGCTCTTGGCTTTTAAGTGATTTCACAGGACTCGAACGGGTGTTTATTTAATGATTAACCAAGTTTGACACTTGTAAGGGATAAGTTGGTATTTGCCGTTAGAGACATGACCGGCAATATGAGAAATGTGCCCAACCTTGGATCAAATTGTATATTACCCCATTAACAATACGACAAAAGTTCGTTTGAACTTCAGTAAGCTCTAGGAACACAAGGGGAAAAACAGCAAGTCCGGTAAAATCCAGTGATTGATATTTAAAGAGTTGAGAGATAGCGAGGCCGGGCTTGACAGGAAGAGCTTGATACTAGTACATCTCCATATTTGGTATTTCCTGGAGATATCTGTCACTTGTACCATGGGGGATATGGTAATTTCCTGTGAAGCGAGTAGGCTGGGATCCTTCACAGCCTATTACTTACAAGATCACCCCAGGGCGCCAGCCGTCCTAACTCGTATAATTAATTTCTCACAATTGTCTTTCAAGTTAAAATGAGGAAAAAAATAATTGCTATATTACTGTTCTCTCAATTTCTACTGGACGGTGAGAAAGGTGGTCCAGTACACAGTGAAGGAGCCCACTACTGGACACACCACTTGACGGGTTCTTTAAAGAGGTCTACACCTTTTACTAGCCTATAAAAACATATTGCCATGATCTTTAATGTCTAAATTAAACTTCCATCGATCGAAAAGTGGAATAGTTTGTCGTGGGGTGCGGCCCCTGGTGTGTGGTGGGTCGGGCCGCTACCCTTGTGTCCAGCCCTACCATGCAACCATGCAGCCCCAACTATGCCATGCAACTAAACCATGCAGCCCCAACTATGCCATGCAACCACGCTATGGTAACATAGACGAGATCCTCCCCCGGTAACGTGTACAGCTTCAAGGAGTGGCGGGTCACGTGGTGCTGGGGGCGGCCTCGGCTACTCCGCCCTAACTACAGTTTACCGGCCAGGTTCACCCTACACCAACTACAAGCACCACAGGATACGGTGGAGTTCTCTACGTCGTGTGAAACGGAACTGTTAGGGAGTGAGGGGAGGGGGGGAGAGGGGTGGTTGGTCACACTAGCGGGGTCGAGGGTGGGGAGCGGCTGACACGGCCAAGCGTTTGTTTGTTTGTCGTTTGACAGCAGTCAGTGAGGCACGGCTGGTGACGTCACATCTTCAGTAATTAATATCATAACTGTACATTTTTTTTTTAATTTTTTATTGCTGTTTATAGGTTTTGACTTATTGTAGGTGTAGAGAAGTGTAGTGAGGGTGGAGTGGCGGTAGAGGCTCTAGCTCCCGGGTCCCGCCTTGGTGGCAGGCGACCTGCAGCTATGGGTCACTCTTGTTGTTTAATGTGTGTGAATAGGTCACTAGTGCGTGGGTACCCACCTAGTTGTACTTGCCAAGTTGTACTTGCGGGGACTGAGTTTCGGCTCCTTGGTCCCGTTTGACACTGAAAACATTCTTAATGTGACTGGCTCATTTGAGCACTCGGTCCAACCAGTGTGCCCTTGTTCACATACCACCCGTGCTAAATAGTTTGTGTATCTCATTACACACAGAAATCACAATAGTGTGATGCATCAAATGAACAAATCCACAAGGGCCGTGACGAGGATTCGAACCTACGTCCAAGAGCATCCCAGACGCTGCCTTAATCGACTGAGCTACTACTGAATTTATTCGGATCCTGCAGCCTCTCCGAGACACAAACCAGGATTTTACATAATTCCCCCGTTCTTTCCATGCCTTCATTCTTATGTACCTTGCTTCTTTACAACCATGATTAAACCATGGAGTTACTCTGTGCCTCTCATTATACTTTCTGCAGAGGGACACATTTGCTAGCTGCTTCCCAGCATTTCCCGTTAAATGTGCATCATTTTCTGTGGGGACTTTCCATGCAGTTCTGTCTCCAATTGTACCTTCATACTCTCACCTTCAGTATGCCAGCCTTTTACCTCCTGGCATTTTTCCTGAAGAGTACATTACTTCACTTATGTCTGACTCATTTAGTATCAACATCAGGTCAAGACGGGTTGGTTGGTCACTGCCTCTCATTCTTGTGGGGCCATTAACAGCCTAGCAAGTTTCTCGTTGCTTCTTCCATGAATTTAGCTTTCCATATGTTGCAACAGTTGACAGCTGCAACTGTGACAATTGGGCCTTCTCGTGAGAACTTCCAATGCCACTGTCTTGGCCATGCCCAGCAATTAGCAATGTGCCCAAAGGCGGATCTGAGGGCCTTAAAAGGCAGATCTGAGAGCCTTAGAAGGTGGATCTGAGAGCCTTAGAAGGTGGATCTGAGAGCCTTAGAAGGTGGATCTGAGAGCCTTAGAAGGTGGATCTGAGAGCCTTAGAAGGTGGATCTGAGAGCCTTAGAAGGCAGATCTGAGAGCCTTAGAAGGCGGATCTGAGAGCCTTAGAAGGCGGATCTGAGAGCCTTAGAAGGCAGATCTGAGAGCCTTAGAAGGTGGATCTGAGAGCCTTAGAAGGCAGATCTGAGAGCCTTAGAAGGCAGATCTGAGAGCCTTAGAAGGCGGATCTGAGAGCCTTAGAAGGCGGATCTGAGAGCCTTAGAAGGCAGATCTGAGAGCCTTAGAAGGCGGATCGTAATAGCAAGCCTGGAACATTGCTAAGAAAACGTAATTGATCCTCTTGAGTTTGATTATTGGTAGTCGATACCATTGCCTCTTGTTGTAGAGTATTTTAATAATAGTTGCAGAATTAATAACTCATAATTACCCCATCAGCAGATATCACAAGTTTTTCTTAGTTAATGGTTTTCAAAGTCTTGGGTTTATACAATGGATACATCTGGGAAACAGGGAAAAATCGGGGAAGAGAGAGAGACAGAGAGAAAAGAAAAGCAAGGATAGGAAATATATGCTTGATCCTGTTACATACCGTGATATAATACACAGTACCTCCCTCCCTTCAGCCCCTTCCTCCCGGACTACAGTGAAATAGTACACAGTCGTTCAGACATGCAGCCTTACTCTCATTACAAATATTATTTTGGCGTGTGGAATATATGAGGGAGGGAGAAGGGGGTGAGGGAGAGGTGTTGCCATGCGCAGAGATCCTACCTTCTCTCCTCGCCGCCCCCCTCCCGACATCTCGCCCCTCCCCACATCTCCCAATATCTCGTTCTTCCCCACGTCTCGTCCCTCCCCACACCTCACCCCACCCGTCATGCAGAGCGAGGAGGGGGGCGAGGTGTGCCGTGGGTGGTGGGTGGTGGGGTGGAGAGGTGGGGGCGAGCGTCCACCTCACACCACCTGGCCAGCGGCTGTGTCAGCAGGCTCTCGGGTGGCCGGGAGGGGTGGCTGGGGGTACTGTTATACTGCGCAGGCCGGGAGGGGTTGGCTGGGGGTACTGTTATACTGCGCAGACCGGGAGGGGAGGCTGGGGGTACTGTTATACTGCGCAGACCGGGAGGGGAGGCTGGGGTACTGTTATACTGCACAGACCAGGAGGGGGAGGCTGGGGGTAGTTATACTGCGCAGACCGGGAGGGGTGGCTGGGGGTACTGTTATACTGCGCAGGCCGGGAGGGGTTGGCTGGGGGTACTGTTATACTGCGCAGACCGGGAGGGGAGGCTGGGGGTACTGTTATACTGCGCAGACCGGGAGGGGAGGCTGGGGTACTGTTATACTGCGCAGGCCGGGAGGGGTTGGCTGGGGGTACTGTTATACTGCGCAGACCGGGAGGGGAGGCTGGGGGTACTGTTATACTGCGCAGACCGGGAGGGGAGGCTGGGGTACTGTTATACTGCGCAGACCAGGAGGGGGAGGCTGGGGGTAGTTATACTGCGCAGACCGGGAGGGGTGGCTGGGGGTACTGTTATACTGCGCAGACCGGGAGGGGGTGGCTGGGGGTACTGTTATACTGCGCAGACCGGGAGGGGAGGCTGGGGGTACTGTTATACTGCGCAGACCGGGAGGGGAGGCTGGGGTACTGTTATACTGCACAGACCAGGAGGGGGAGGCTGGGGGTAGTTATACTGCGCAGACCGGGAGGGGTGGCTGGGGGTACTGTTATACTGCGCAGACCAGGAGGGGGAGGCTGGGGGTAGTTATACTGCGCAGACCGGAAGGGATGGCTGGGGGTATTGTTATACTGCGCAGACCAGGAGGGGGAGGCTGGGGGTACTGTTATACTGCGCAGACCGGGAGGGGTGGCTGGGGGTACTGTTATACTGCGCAGACCAGGAGGGGAGGCTGGGGGTATTGTTATACTGCGCAGACCTGGAGGGGGTGGCTGGGGGTACTGTTATACTGCGCAGACCAGGAGGGGAGGCTGGGGGTACTGTTATACTGCGCAGACCAGGAGGGGGAGGATGGGGGTACT